TTGTACTAATTGTGGCACTTAACATTGGTATTGCTCATTAAATACCCTATACATAACTGTTAAGTGCTAATAAAGTCACATTATAGATTTCTTTCTTTCACTGATGTAGAGGATTACACATACTGATTTTTAAGATAACCCAGATTAAGTGAAGTATAATGTGCCAGCCTTAGAGAGGTAAATTTACTTAAACATGGAAACAACTTCATTCTCCCTTCTTACAGACAGGCACACGCATGCGCATACACACACACACACACCAATACTCACCAACACTGCAACGACAACTATTTCTTCTATCCTTAAATATTTCTGGCTTTAGTTTAACAAAGATTCTCCAGCGTATACATCGAAGCTGGAAGGAGCGTTGGCATCATCTTATCAATACACAACTGTAGGAGTGCAGAGAATCAGTATTGTAAGGTTGCATGTTTGTTTGTTGGTGACATTGGGAATCTCACTACCAGCCAGCACTGTTGTTGTTTGTTTTTGTGAAAGCGTGCCTTGTTCCTTTGTGGTGAGTTGACAAAATAGATGTCACCGTTTAATTGAAAACATGACAAAAGCTGACTAACGAAAAGTGAGCTCAAGTTACCGTGTGTGTGTGTGTGTCTGTGTCTGTGTCTGTGTCTGTCACTCTGTGTATGTGTCTGTCCAGCCATGACACACACTTGGGCGTCAGAGGACAACTTGATTTCCTCCTCCTACTGTGTGGGTCTTGGGGATTGAACTCAGGTCATCAGACTTGGGAAGGGAGCACCTTTCCCCGTAGAGACCTCTGGCTGCTTTTTAAATCTCACTTTTACTTACATTTTCATCAGCAAAGTGGAAATTTTTGAAACATCTTAAACAATTAGTAAGAAGTTTATAATTTCAGGAGATACTGCATTTCAGTAATTTCTCTCACTAGAGTGCCCCTTATTTGTGTCTGATAAACTGTAGTGTTAGCAGATAGGAAAGCATGTTTCTAGTTTCAGAGAGTACACTTTTACAGAAACTGAATTTCTTGTCGGTGAGAACTATATAATAACGTTTTTAAAATGAAGGTTAAATTTATGTTGGATTTGGTTTTGAATACAGGAGGTATAAAAACAGAAGGAGGTTGGTTAGTTCTGCCTCCTACTATGGCAATTCCACATTTTCTTAGAAACGGGCCAAGAGCTCGCAGTGGTTTCACGGACTTGCCGTGGCAGGTACCGCCGGGCCGTGCACGAGTAGGATGTCTGTCTGTTCTCCCACACCTGGTCCACCGTGAGACGGCTGCCGAGTCCGAGTGCCAACAGGCAGAGGCTAGTTTGGGTGCCTGCCTCCTGATTCTCTTCCCCCGTCCTCCCCTTCCCTCTCTTGTTGACTTTTCTTCTTTATTTTGACAAGCTCCCCTTTAAACTTCATATTTTACAGCTCCAAAGGAGATGTTTCAGGTACCGTAGAAAATAAAGGGAAAACTAAAACCCTATAATGGCATCCAGCTGGGTTCAGATTGTTTATTAATTAAAAACAAAAAGTCCGAGTGGTAAATGAGTGTGTGCTCACCCGTCCACGTTATATGGAGGCAGGGACTAACAGGAGAATATTCCCTTATCATGCTTTCCCTTGTCTTTTGAGACAGTAGCTCACAGATTCAGCTAGACTGACCACCCAGCAAACTCCCTTCCTCTCTAAAGGAAGCACTTGGTTACAAACTAAGGGTTTATAGCTTTGTTTTACGTGTTGTTTTGTAAAATACTGGGGCTCTTCATGGTGGTAACCATACCGACAGTGACGCCAGCTTCTTGGGCCATGTGATTGGGGTGTAAGATTCGGTACCCTCCCACCCCATCTTCATTTTCACTGTCCACTGTTAACATCATCGTCGATAGAAATAGTAAGTGAACTCGTCCAGAGAGAAACAGTCCATATGCTGACTGCACACTGGTCTGAGTGGTACAGTGACCTGATCTTCTTTACCCACCTTTGTCGCTGATGTGCATGCGGTATGTGTGCACACCCATTAGTCACTCGGGGGTTTAGCTTGTCAATTGGACGTCACAGTGTTTGTAGTCAAGGAACCCTTATTTTACTAATAATGACTCCAAGGTGCAGCAGTAGTGATGTGCCACAAAGAATCGATAAAGTCCTTCTGTGTAAGGATCATCTCACATATATATATCGTGGAAAGAAGTGTGAAGCCTGTAATACCAACAGACTGGACTTCTGAGTGGGACCATTGCTGAGTGGGACCATTGCAAGCTTGAGACCGGTTTGGGCATCTTACAGAGAAGCAGTAAGGGAAAAAAAAGTTAATTTATATTATATATTTTTAAAAGTCGGGGGTTGGGGAGATGGCTCAGTTAAAGTACTGTGGCATAAGCGTGAGGACCTGAGTTTAGATCCTAAGCACCCTGTAAAAAGCTAGGCGTGGTGAAGCGTGCTGGTAATTCCTGTGCTAAAAGGAGGTGACAGGACAATTCTTGGGGGTTCACTGGTCAGTAAAAATGATGGGGAGGTGGTTGAGAAAGGCATTCCAATGTCAGCCTCTGGCCTCCACATATACTCACATGGGCAAGCCTTCCTATTCACCCACATGCACATGTATGTACAAACCTCCCCGCCCCCAACACACACACATACACAAGGCCACAATTACAGCTTAGTGGTAGAGTGCTTTCTTAGCAAGCACACTGCCTTGTGTTTAATCCTTAATACCACAGGAAATATAAATAAATATAGGACAACATATTGAGAGGTGGAGACCATATTCATATAACAATCAAGGGATTTTGTACTTTGTGATGTACAAAGTACCTCCAGGATGCATGTACTGTGCATCTTGGAACTTGTCACCCACTGAATAAAAGAGGAACTGCTGTGTTGTCCTTATTGAATTGATTTGTTTCAGTAGGGACCACATAGGCAACTTTGCCTTAGTAGTTTCTGTATTTCCTAATTCTTACGTTTATATTGTTATCATCTCCCCCTCCCCCTCTTTTTTGTTTTGATTTTAAGACAGGGTCTTACTGTGTAGTCCAGGCTTCCCTCAAACTCAGCAAACCTGTCTCCAGCTTCCGTGAGTAATGAGCTTACAGGCATGATCCCTGACTACATCATCGCTTTTGAAAGCTACAAATGCAAAAAGATGCAGAAGTGGTGGTCTTTAATTTTTTAGTCAGCCTCCGACTGTAGCCTAGGCTGGACTGGAACAGCCCAGGTCTTCCCAAACTCACAGCGATGGTTGGCTTTGGTTTTCCAAGTACTTGGCTTGAGTCACCACACCTAACTCTGAACTTGTGACAGCTGCTACAAGAGTGCTGTTTATTTACAGAGTTACTGCGGCTGCTTGAAATTACTCTAATTTTTCACTCAGTAGTTCAGTGATTAGAGATAGAAGGGACACATCCAGGCAGATGCTCCCCTTAAAACTCTGTCTACTAAGTCCTGCGTGTTACTTTGTAACTCTAGGTATGACAGAGCGATTATCACTTCACTGTATTTTCATCTTTATACTTATTCAGCCTAGGGCCTTGTGCATGCTAGACAAGAACTCTATCACTGCTCTCAAACTTTTTGATGACTTCAGTTTGTCCACTATTTCTTCTGTAGACCTATTTTAAATTTGTAGGTTGAGGTAGATGTGTGGGTACATGTATGTGTAAGGGTGCACTTGCCTATATGTGTATATATGGAGGCTAGAAGTTGACAGTGAGTGTGTCCCTCCGTGTTCTGCACCTTTCTTGTTTTTTTTTTTTGGTGTGTGCATGTGTTTGTATATATGTGCAGATGTGGAGGCCAGAGGTGGGCATCAGGTAGCCTCCTCTTAGCATTCTTTGCCTTATTCCCTTGAGACAGGTTCTTTGCCTGAACCTGGAACACAACTTTTGCTATGCCAGTGGCCATCATGCCCAAGTGATCTTTCTGTTTCTCTCCCATATCACTGGGTTACAGGCATGAGTGGCCATACCTAGTGTTTTATGTGAATGCTAGAGCCAAACTCAGATCATCATACTTACGGAACAAACATTCTTGTTCATTTAACTATCTCCTTAGCCTTCCACATTTCTTCTTTTCTCCCGTGACTTTATTTAATTATTTTGGGAGTGTGGTACATATGTCCTGGCATACATATGGAAGTCAGAGGACACCTTGCAGGAGTCAGTTCTTACCTCCACCATGTGGGTCCACCAAGCAGGGGATTGACGTGCATGGGATTAGTGATACATACCTTTATCTGCTGAGCCGTCTTTCTGACCCTGCCTTATTTTTCAGATAAGATTTGTCTTTTTAGGATAGCCTAGCTGACCAGCAAACCTCCAGGATCCGTCTGTCTCTCCCCTGTAACACTGGGGCTACAGAGGTGCCTGCCATGGGTGCCAGGGATTTAAATGAGGTCCTCACCATTGTACAGCAAAGAGCCACGGAGCATCTCTCCATCCCCTTCTATAAACCAGCAGTTTGGTTTTTTTTTTCTGGCAATTTACTCTATCATGTGTGCTGTTACTGATAGCATTCTAGTCTTTAGGGAATTAAACTCAGTTTCTGTTAGCGGAACAAGTTCATTTAAAAGTAACTAGGAACACAAAAGTGCAGCCATCTTAGGGAGCAGTCTGTGCAAAGCCTGCTAGTATAATAAAATGACTAATAGTACAGTTGCAGCATCCTTCTAGTTTCTTCATTACGCTGTGACTAGGAACGGTCTATATGTGGTTTGAACTAGTCTCTAGGAAAGCTTTGTGAGTCACGTAGACAGTCTTATCCTCCTCTTTCTTCAGTTGTTAAAAGTTGAAGCATACACGATAAATAGAAGTTTGATATAAATCCAAAGAAGAGTCCATAATAAATTCCAGTGTCTATTGTGTATGGATTTTGAACAGAATAACTGTAGAATGAAGTTGAGACCTTACCTCACATTATGAACAACAATGAACTCAACTGTTTTTAAGTGCTGAAACTAGAAGACTCAAACAGCATAGACACAAATCTCTTTAGATTTGAATTTGCCGATGATTTCTTAGATTTGATACCACAAGTATGAACAAATACATAAATGAATAAATTGGATTTCAACAAAAGTAAAAACTTGTTCTTGAAACTATGGATGGTGTAGAATATTATTTTAAGGTGTGATATTTTTGTTTATGTTGCATTTGTTTAACTCTGTGAAGCTGTGTTACTGTGCCTGTGTTACACAAATCCTACATGGTCTTATAATAAAAATCTGGAGTCAGCTATTGGGACAAATACTGAAAGATCAGAGGAAATAAGCCACAGCCATTTCTCGCCTCACCAGCTCCTCAGCCGAAAAAGAGACGATCCGGTCTCCACCAATCCTCTGACTGAATGCCTCTGAGTCCTCAGAGGAAAGGCTCCTAGTTCCTGTCTCCTCACGCCTTATGTGCCTTTCTCCTCTCAGCCATTTCACTTCCTGTCTCAACCTTCCTAGTGCTGGGATGAATGGCATGTGTGTGCCTCCCAAATACTGGGGTTAAAGGTGTGTGCCACCACTGCCTAGCTTTGTTTCTCTCCTAGACTGGATCAATCTCTTGTAGCTCATTGTGGCCTTGAACTCACAGAGATCCAGGTGGATCTCTGCCTCCTGAGTACTAGGATTAAAGGTATGTGCCACCACTGCCTGACCTCTATGTTTAACTGTGGCTGGCTCTGTCCTCTGATATTCAGGCAAGTTTTATTATAATACAACAAAATATCACCATGTGCCTGTCTAAAACACCTGATGGTCTAATAAAGACATGAACGGCCAATAGCAAGCCAGGAGGAAGGATAGGCGGGGCTGGCAGGCAGAGAGACTATATAGAAGGAGAAATCTGGGAGCCAGGAAAAAAGTAGCCAGAGAAGGAGGAGGACATCGGGGACTAGCCACACAGCAAGCCAAGGAGTAAGAGTAAGATTCACAGAAGTAAGAGAACGGGAAAAGCCCAGAGGTGAAAGGTAGATGGGCAATTTAAAGTTAAGGAAAGTTGGCAAGAAACAAGCCAAGCTAAGGCTGGGGATTTATATTTGGGAGCTGGGTGACAGGCCTCTCAAAAGAGCAAAAACAACAACATATGGAGAAGATAGAAATGTGATAAATATTTAAAAACCCTCTATCTAATAAAAAAAAATCTAGATCCAGAATGTATAATATACTCTTAGGACTCAACAAAAGACAGTTCAGTTTAAAAATGGACATGGGCTAGATGTGTGGCTTAACAGTTGGATACTTTTCTAGCACCTGCAAGGCCCTGGGTTTATTCCCTAGTTCTTCAAAAAGTAAATAAATAAACTAATGATAAACCATGAAGAAATGGTAAGAAGTACATAGTGGGATGCTGATCATCATTGCTGAAAAATACAGTTCAAAACTACTTCACACACTCATTGGGATCAGTACTTTTTTAAAAAGCTAAACAACAAAATGGTATGTTACTGTAGAAAATTGTTAGCGTTCCTCCGGTGTAGTGGGGAATTACCACATGACTCAGCACCTCTACTCATGGTTAAGTTGAAAACGTTCAAACAGAGGCTGTCCATGAATATTTATAATAGCACCTTGGACACTGCTGAAGAGTGAAAGTGGGGTATACATCCATCAGCTGTGAATGTTTAAGTGAGTGTATGTTTTTACAAAGTTCTGGAACCATATAATGGTGTTAACTTCTCTGTGATGTGTATTTTTCCATAGCAAAAATAATTGAACACTGGATTGAAAGCATAATGGAGTGCTTTAGGAAAGGAGCCTAACACTGGAAGGGCAGAGTAGGGAGTAGAATCATAGGCAGTAGGTTAGCACAGAGTGTAATGCCCATAGGAAGACAGTGAACTGACTTTTAGTGGAGAGAAGGCAGATGAGACCCAGTCCTTCTCATAGAATCTCAGTGACTGACTTTGTTCTCTAGAATCGTAATAGAAAAATAGTCCTGGGTGTGATTTATGTGAGATGTGTAGAGTTTTTCATAGCATCATCTGTGCTTTATTTGCAGAGGTAAAGAACTCAGAAGAGCAGTATAATAAAATAGTAATCCCCAATGAAGAAAATGTGGTCATCTATTACAAGATTAGGCAGCAACTTGCCAAGCTGGGGAAAGAGATTGAAGAATATATTCATAAACCAAAATACTGCTTACCATTTCTACAGCCAGGTCGCTTGGTAAAGGTACGCCCTAGTTTCTCTATAAAATGTTAGTGTATTACAGTATCTGAAAACCTTTTGATTAAAGACTGTTGTTTATATTGGCAAATGTCTCCTGTTAATAGGATGTGATCAGGATCTGTCATTTGACCTGTTTGATATTGTCCCTATTTTGACATTTACATTAAGGCTTTCAGTTAATACTTTTCCGTTTTCTATTGTGAGATGCTACCTAAAAATGAGCCAGTTTGCAGTCTGAAATCATTAGATATAAAATACTTAATAATGTCAGAACATTAGCATTTGTTTTCCAGTTGAAAGATTCCTATTGTGGCAGTACTGAGAGCTGGTGAAATCTAGTGCTGGATGTTTTTGTTTTGTTTTGTTTTACTATAGATCTTTTAAAAGCATTAGGAAAATTTAAAAATCTTATTAGCCTGTAATGTAGCTAGATATAGAAGGCTACAATTGCATATTCAATATGAACACTGTTTTTGACTTCTTTTCTATTTCCAGGTGAAAAATGAAGGAGATGATTTTGGTTGGGGAGTAGTGGTGAATTTCTCCAAAAAGTCAAATGTTAAGGTAAACTGTTGCCCTTGAGGAGATAGAGGGATTTTCTAATGACAGGTTCCAATTTCAGGAGTTCACATTTCTCCTCTTTGTGTCCATCAGATTGTTGCCTACTACAGCTAAATAATAATAATAATAATAATAATAGGCACATGACACATGATTGATTTAATTTCAAGAATAGCCACTCTTCTAACAATTTAACAAGATCATATTTTATTTCGTAGAGATAGATTTATGATACTACTGATTTTGTTGCTTTTCTAAATTTTACACACTACTCAGAAACTTGCAATGATATTTGATGTCATAGGTCATCATGGTCACATTATTAAGTTAAAATTAATAAGCATCCGAGTTATTCCTTCCTGTGCTTTGCCATCAACAGGACTGCTTTGAAGGCTACAGAGACCACCTTAGAAGTAAACGTTAGTGAGAAAATAAGCCCTGTTCACACAGAGTTAATGCACTTACCTTTTTGATCCTGCTTTTCTAGCCTAATTCTGGTGAGCTGGACCCTTTGTATGTGGTGGAAGTGCTCCTGCGCTGTAGCAAAGAAAGCCTGAAAAATTCTGCTACTGAGGCAGCAAAGCCAGCAAAACCTGACGAGAAAGGAGAGATGCAGGTGTGTGTGCTTGTCACCTTCAGATTACTCTGTGAGCTTTAGATGTAAGACACTGAAGAATAGTAAGAGAAAGAGACAAAAGAAAGATGAGTGTCAGGAACACTGGTCTCACCTACCATGTGAAATACTCACTCTCTTGTTTGTGTGTGATTGGTTGTATTTCTCCTGGTGGTGGGGCTTGCTCCCAAGAGCTTGTGCATGGTGCATGCTAGGCAAGCGTTCTACCATTGAGCTACATATATCCCTTGTGTGGCTTCTATTTTTATATTGGTATAAGTCAGATAATTAGTAGTAAAATCTTAATTACAGAGATTCCAAGTATCTGAAGATTAAGATCATGCTAGAATTTTCTTATTTATAAGTAATATGGCATATTGACTAAATTTTTAGGGAATACTTGTTATAATAAACTTGATTTCTAGAAAGTAAAATCTGCCTAAGACTAAATGTTGACAGATGTGAGCCTAGGAAATGGTTGGCCTCCTTGCAAGTAGATTTAGGCCTTCCAGATTTTAGCAGTCAAAGAAGCAAAATGACATCTTTGGTGGTGAGGGAAGACATACTTCCTGGAGAAAGCCTGGGGAACAGTTTTCAGATGTGTGTTCAGGAAGATGATGTCTAAGGGATGCGGTATCTACTCTTTAAAGAGCTTTTGTTTTTTTCCATCTCATTCCATCTGGAACTTGGGTGTTCTTTCCTGAGCACTCTAACCCTCTTACACGGGCATTCATTCATATATAGTGCTAGAGTATCTTTATGAGTTGAAAAAGTGCCAAGTGGTGAGAATACAAACGTGAATAAGTTGGACTCTGAGGAGAGGGTCTTTGTTCAGTGAACCGTTTGTGTGACTGTTAAGATTTGCAGCAGTTTTTATGTACTAGTCTCTACTAAGATTAGACTTCGGTGGTAAGCAGTTGATCTGCAACATACTGTAACTGCGGCTTCCTTTGCTGGCTACAGTTGGGGATGACTGGAAGCGTGGATTCATCTGTGGTCTTGTGTGACACTCTAGGTTGTTCCAGTTCTGGTGCATCTCTTGTCTGCCATCAGCACCGTCAGGCTCTACATCCCCAAAGACCTTCGGCCTGTGGACAA